TGACGCTGAGGTGCAAAGTTGGCGTTGTTGGGAGGTGCCTGTGAGCTCGGAGGCGGCGTGGGCGGAAAAGGTGCCGTAGGTGAAATCCATGGTGGGCGTGTTGGGAACGATGGAGACGTAGGTGGCGGAGGCGGTATTCCGGGTGGGTTCCAAAATGGTCGATGGGTCGTCATGGCATAGTGCATCGGGCCACGGAACGCCGGTACTGCTTGGTGCCATCCATGTTGATGACGAGGTGGTGTGCGCGAACGATCCGGCTGGGAAGGAGGGATTCCATTCATATCCGTGCTGTATTGGGAGATCAGGTCCTGGGACGCCATGATGTAGAGAGGATCACGAGATAATAGGTCAAAAGGCGCTCGAACTGCCGAATGAAAGCTGCGGAAAGTGTCGAGGTGAGACAAGGGTAATGTATAATTGAAAAAGTGTGAGACATAATACGTGGTCCCAGTGTGTGAAACGTAAAGTGGTAACGAATCGGACGAAAGGATCAAAAACATGAGCATGCAGCGATTCACAAACCTTTTGAGGAAGAAGTGGCGGCAATACCGAATGTCGGGAGAAGCATTGTTACTCCAAAATGATCGGGCTGGGCCACTAGGCTCACTGTATCGCTGACGTAGAATAGTCGATACTTGTTTCGGTGCTCCTCAAGGGTAAATAGTTCACCAACGAGATTTGGAGTGGTGGGTCGAATGCCGAGAACGAGGTCGGCCTTCATGGTGCTGGTCGCGAGAATGGTCTTCATAGTATGAGGAGCGGCGATCTCGGCGGCTGTAGGTTGAAGTGTCCCAAGAAGCATTGTCGTGCCAAGATCGGCGAGCATAGTCCCGAGAGCCAGAGGCAGCAGTCTCACGGTGGCTCGGTGTGTCGCGAGAGTCGTCTGGGGGCGGCTCCGAAGGTTCTGGGGCGTCGGCAGAAGGGTCAGGTCGTACTGAACGTGCAGAATCATCAGGGGGTTCCGAAGGTGCATTGGTCTCCGCAGTCTGGTGTGTGATCAAGCCCGGGAAAACCGTGTGAGTGGAGGCAACGTAGCATATAGATGCGGCGCTTGAGTTCATAGCCGTTGCATTGTCTTTGCCCTTGGCGATGCCCGCAAGGTTGCACAAGCGTTGGATTTGGTCATTTCCTCCAGCTAGGGCACGGATGCATTTGGGTGAGCGGCATATGGCCAGTAGGCCTGATGGGTTTTGTCCTTTGCCTATTTTGTAGAGCTGAGAGGTACAGATCTTGACAGCATAGCCGGGTAGGTTGTCGGTGTCTGCGATCTCAGAGGACATTCCGAAGAACCCGTAACACGGGTATTGAGTCGGTATGCCGGCTTCGTTTTTTGTCCAAGTTGCCGGGCGGATGCAGTCTTCAGCAAGAATTTTGGCAACTGATTCCCAACTTGTTTTGTGGTAGATCAGGTAGGTGCCCATGTATTCGCCACGGTAGATTGGTTTCTTCTTCAATCCTGTGGGAACCGTGATGGTCAGCAAGTTCTCTGGCTCAATGTAGAAGGCTTGTGTTTGCCTTGCGAGTTCGATGTCCAGCAAGTCGGATTGTGCAAAGGCCCTGGCAATATTCCTGACGGTGGCTTGGCTTGCTTTGATCCAAATACGATGGTTGTTGACGGTGCGGTATGGTTTAGCCAACTGTTCGAACATCGCGTCCACAAATTGGTTGAAGAGCTGCAAGATAGCCGGGGTCAATGATTGGCGTAGGGGAACAACATGATCGGGGCCAAGCTCAGTCAGGCAACGGACTCTATGGGGGTCATTGGCCGCCGCCACCATTTCATCGAGGTCGATGTCATTCGTGTCAAACTTGGTGAGCGAAATGGTATCTGCAAACTCAGAATTTTCACTGTCGCCGTCTGGAACTCGGAAGGACACCGCGCCGAGTGGTGCTGAAGTGTGGGTTGGTGGGTTGGTTGGTGGTTCCGATGGTGGTGGATCGGTAGGAGAATTGGGTCGAGCAGTGTGGTGGTCGGAGGTGTCGGTGTAGTGGCTTTCGTTCCATGTACCCCAGGTGTCATCAGCATCGGGAGTGGGGATGTAGTTCGGATTGGATGGGTTTGCAGCAGGTCGAAGTATGACTTCACGGCCTCGGGATCGGTGGCGTGGTGTCGCGGAGCGTGGGCGTGGATGGGAGCGATGACGTCGAGGAACCACAGGAGACCGGCGTCGTGGTGGTGAGCGTCGTCTGTATGGAGATGGGGTTCTGCGGCCCTTGTCGGGTTTCGTAGATGATCGATGACGAGGGAGAGGAGAACGAGGTCGCTCTGCACGTGGAGGAGAATAGCGATGGCGATGAGAATGTACAGAAGGTCGATGGGAACGTGATCTTGGAGTTCGGGATCGTGGTCGGCGTGTTGGTGGTGGTGGAACTTGTGGTTGGTGAGGAGAAGCGATGGCTGGAGCTGGGACAATGCGATGGTCCTGAACGTCCGGTTCGGTGGGTCTGGCTTTCGGTGCAGGTGGAGGCGTGGCGATCAGTGGTGGTGTAGGTGTAGGTGGCGGTATCGGTGGTGTAGGATTCGGTGGAGGTTCATCTTGTTGAAGAAGGAGTTGACGTTGTTCTTGTGCCCGTTGAGAATCCATGATTAATAGTTGCTGAGCTTGAATAAGTCGAACAGATTCAGCCAGTTGTTGTGCGGTGGAACCCAGGGATGCAAGTTCAGGTGACACGGATGAAGTCGGTGCTGTCGTAGGTGCCGGTGGTGCAGCGTGAGGAGGGGTTTTCGGAGCTGGCCTGCGCGGTCGATCCGGTCTTTTGTCAGGGCGATGCCTGGGAGCTGCTTTGACTGCTGGGGGCCGTGGTGAAGGCTCATTTGGAGAGACCGTCGATGCGTCCATCTGTAATGGAGGTTGAATGTGGTGAGGTGGGTATGGAGAACTGGGCAAAGGCGTCGGTGTCATAGTCGATGTAGGTGGTGTAGTCGATGTAGGCGGTGGAGCCGGAGGGGAAGCCCACGTGGGTGGAGCGGTGGGTGCCATAGGAGATGGGAAAGTCGACGGAGCGGTGTGCACCATAGTTGGTTCAGGAGCCAAAGGCGAAGGCATGGTAGGTACTAGCTGTGGACCTGGTACTGCATGAGGAGCCGAAGTCAATGAGGTGAACGGCAACGATGTGGGGGTTGATGTAGACGGCATGAGCGAAGCTGAGGATGACCATGTAGGATGCAAAGCCGAGGGATGTCCAAATAAATGTGCGTTCGGTGTTGATTGCTGCCACGTCGAAGATGGGTTCGAAGGCTGCGGTGGAGCAGGCCATGATGTTGGCGGAGTGTTCCACGGATGCATTGCTTCAGGAGATCAGAACAAAAGTGAACAATTGTAAGAATTTTCCCATACAGGATTCAGTCCCTAACTGCCTACAAATTCGTGCGATTATTCCCTGCACCGGGACCGTGGTCAAGTCAGCCACAAGGGCATAAAACGGCTTTCAAGTTCCATCGAATTAGATGCACAAAATGTTTAACCTCACCAGACAACCATCAAAAAGAAGAATACCACTCCTGCAAGACGTGGGCCTGCCTGATTCATATGTCATGACTTGATGCACTTTCGCTGCAAACGTTGCTGCAAAAAACGGAGGTTTCTGAATGTTCGGTATGGCTTCGCTTGAAAGAACAGATCACTGGGAGCCCTGGGACATCCGGAGCAGCAGGAGATCTCAAAATGGCTGACAAACCGCAAGGCTGATGGTTGCCCTTTACTTAAACGAATTACTAACTTAAAATGTGTGAATTCAGAATTCAAGACTGTCGACACTCACCCTGAAAAGGGTTGCCTCAAATGGCTCCATGGCACCATGTCGGAGCCACCATGGAAATCACACTAGACAAGAATGGATCATTATATGATCCGGCAGGAACTGAATCCTGAAACATGCAGATTAAGTACGAAACACTGAAATTAACAATGCATCCTACGAATAATAGAAGTACTTCAGAATGGTCATAGGGTTCAGAATCGACGTCAAAAAGAATGAATAAACCAGTAATAATACCATCGGCGAAGAATAACGTCGGCGAAACTTAGATGAATACCATCGGCGACGATGTTGTCGGCGATCATGTAAACAAAATAATACATAGGTGCTTTCTACGTCCTTGCTCTGAGGAAGGTTCTGATGCAACTGAATCAATAGTAAATGACCAAAAGTAATTCCAGATTGCGACAACAGTGCAGCAAATTGTATAAGATTGTGGTTGGGGTTCTTAGCTTGGCCCCTTGCTATGTCCGAAAAAAGCAGGTACGTGACAAAGGCGTCCCTTCGTCATATCACAGCAAATGATGAAGCGTCTTCGTTGAGTGGTGACTTCATCATTGCTCACCACTCCCCTGCAAATTAGTGAAAACCAATCAGAAGTTTTACATCTGTTCAGATGGTACACACACACACACACGAGGTACCTTTCATCGCCGGCTGCAGCCACCGCAAGGTTTCGTGCTCCGGCTTCCTCCCCAACACAAACCCCATGCAATAGTCATGCAGCCGCTGCAGTCACCACTTACCAAAGTCACCACTTACCAAAGTCACCACTTCCTTTAGTCACCACTTCCCAAAATCACCATGTTCCCTTCATCACCACTTCCCTTCGTCACCACTTCCCTTCGTCACCACTTCCCTTCGTCACCACCCTTCGTCATAGTCACCACTTCCCTTGATGTATTGTTTTGTTGTTATGTGATGTAAAGTCTCACACCACCCTTCGTGATGTATTGCTATGTGATGTAAAGTGTCACACCACCCTTCAAGATGTATTGTTATGTGATGTAAAGTCTTTTGAATAAAAGTCATCCGTAACTCGGAAGATGCTTCCCAACTTCCTTTGATAAGACCCGTAATGTGGTAAACCATTGCAAACCCCATAATAAGCCATCCCGAAATCAACATAAAGGGGTGGTATAAACCATCCCCGAATGGTAGGTTTATCACTGGGTTGCCCACATTAATGGGCTACAAATGGCTACGGCACCAGGCTTGTGCCAGATTCCAACCGGTCTCGCCTAAAGATCGCAGGTCTGTGGGCATGGGAGCACCGGGCTTCTTCGCAGGCCTGCTTGGAGGGAAAATCTTGGAGACACCAATCACATCCACTATGCAATCACCACTGTGTCAACTGCCCAGCCTCCTCACAAGGGATCCCAAGATATCCCAACGGCCTATTCTCTGGGATAGTCGCCGGAAGCGATCTGGAGGCGCTAGGCGGCTCGTAGTGCTGCCGAGGGGTGGCCATCACGGTGTCCACACCCTGGGTCTGTGCCTCCATGACGCCTCAACAACTCAATCCAAAACGATGGTCACCTCAGAGTCTCCAGCTTTAGCGAAGTTGTTATAAATAGCATCTTACAAGCGCTTACTATGAGATCTATGAGTCTAGAAGGGTATAACAAATGTGCACATAAGATCAAATAAGAGTCTGTAAGAGTGTGAGGCAAACCATCCACTGAAACCACAATCGATCCGAACATGTGGCACCTCCACTGGGCATTCCTCGGATCTGCAAATCCGCAAGCTCGCTGCCGCCGCAGGCGCCTGTGCCGACGCGGCCCGGGCAGCCTGCACCTGTACCACAGCTTCTTCGCTGAGTTTCTGCCGCAACTCCTGCGACCCGCACCTTCCAAATGTGGTGGTATGCTTGTATATTATATAATGGATATAAATATATATATATACACAGTATATATATATATATATATAATGAGCATCAACTTAATACCTTTGGAGGATGTTCTACCATGTTCTACTTCAGATCTATTTCGCACTCCAACTGTCCCCTGCGCCGTCCTCCAGCTCACAGTCTCTTTGTGCCAACTGGATTCTGAGGTCCTGCACGAAGCGCGGGGACAATGCAACCCATTTGGCCCTGAGGTCTTACTGTTGGAAGCTAATTGCTTGTGGACCCAGATCTCGCTGCAAAAAAGTGCCATCTGAAGGATGCTCAAGGCAGCTTTTCCTCGCTTGGACGACGAGGAGTCTGTGACTGTCTGGGAAAGCTCGCAGTTTCCTCTCCCTGAGACCCGCATTTGGGCCCCGAACAGCTGTGCTGACTTAAAAGACTTCATGCCCAGCTCTGTGCATTTTGCTTCGGCAGGCGTCTCACTACCAAAAAAGGGGACATCCAGCTCCCCCCAAAAGCATACGAATTGAAGATCTTTGAAGAGTGCCCACTGGCCCTCGTTCTACCATGAGTTCCCAGGATTACAACCGCGTCGGTTAATCCCGACTGTCGCCCTTGCTCAACTGCATGAGGATTTCCAGGATGTAGAGGAAGAGGTTGACAATGTCCTGCAAATATCTGCAAATCGCAAGGGTTCCCACAAATCGAAATCCCCACACATCCCCACACTACTGTCTGTTTTTAATCACACAGCGCTCAGGTCTATATAAACCGTTTCGCAACCACAGTCCATGTAGAGCTGAATGGCACCCTCCACGTAATCGTCCACGTCCAATTCTTGGGAAATGCGCCAGGTGTCAAAGACCAGGTAGGCCGAGAAGATCCCAGCACCCGCGAAAGAGACCAACAGACCCACGATGCCGGTGTTCAAGGAGGGGAAGAACATGCACAGCAAGCCAAAGCCAAAAAAGCCAAACGTCAAAGGCCATAGCGCAGCGCCCAAGAAGGAAAAATCGCGTTTGGAGCGGAAGGTGTATAGCCTCAGCCATTGCCGTTTGGTCAATGGTCACTAGTCACCAGGTTTGCCAAGGGGGAATCCTCCTGCTGTGGCGCTACTGTTCCACACCACTAGTTTCGGCAAGTCTTGCAATGCAGTGCAATCCAAGGCTCTTGGCTTGGTTCTAAGATGTTATGAGTTATGAGTTACAGTTATGGTGACTCACGTTTTTGCAGTTGGACATGGTATGCCTTCATCTCTATCTGCATATCTGCATCCTCGCATGTACGAGTCTCAGATCTGATCAAGTAATAAATGTTGAGGGCATTGAGGGGGAACACCCCGGTGGTCTGCCGTTTTTTCAGCCCAGCAACGTCAAGCCTGCCACCAGTAGGGCCGTGATCACAGCCGCCTCTGCCACCAACGAGCCCATGCCCGCTGAAGCGGCAAGGGCACTGATGACCCCCACATCACATGCCATGACGGCGGTCAGAGCACAGAGGCCCACGAAATTCACGGGATAACCTCGGATGATCCGCTTTTTTTCATTGCTTCGACTGGAAGATATTTGCGGTATAGTATATGCCCCAGGTACGAACGATTCTATGCTGACTTCATGGATCATGCCAGTGGTGACGTGATTTGGCGCTTGCAGAGGAAAAGCACGAAAACTAGCCCTGAAGCTACGTAGCATTGTTAGGTCCAGGTAGGTTTCGCCTGACTTGTAACAACCGGCGCACTATAGTCCCATGGAAATTCCGCCTACGACAAACACGCAGGTCCAAAATGATCGAATTGCACAACCGGGCAACTGTTCTTGCCTGCATGGCATAGCAGCAGGGACAAGCCTGTCGCAATCAAAGAGCCCCAACGAAAGGTGCTGGGCCAGTGCATCACAAAGCTGGTGGCCGGATGCCTCAAAGGTCCACAGCAAAGGGCTGCAAAGACGGCTGTGGCAACAACCTCAGAAGGGCGCACGCACAGTTACTCAACACGGACCTAAATGTTACCCATCGAATCACCTTTCGTCAAGTGCATACTTAAAACAAGACGGGGAAAAGACTCGCACATGGGGACTTTCCACAAAGCCGCAAACAAACCCTTTGATTCCACCTCACAAATACTGCAGCTCTATACAGGGTCCTTCACCCTGCCTGAGTGCAAACAATGCCATAGACCTTCCGGATGAAGCCCAGGCGAATTTGACTGTCGCTGATGCCCTTCAGGTCCCCAAAGTTTGGAGTAGTCTCGATATCCATCGTGCTAACCATGGCTTGGAAGATCGAAAACCAACTGAGGGCGGCTGTTTACCGAAGCTTGTGCTAGGCTTTCAGAAGATGGCAGCAGATTCAAACCAGAAATGGACGCACGTGGCCCAAGAATGTCAAGAAAACATGTTTCTGATGGCTGCAAACTGTTCTGTGCGATCGCTTGTCCCAAAGGGTCCTCCAACCCTGCCCTTTCCCTCACCTTGGCACTACTGAAGCTCAAATTTCCACCAGCAACATCCAGCACCGACTTTCTACCGCCAAATCAAAACAGCATCACAACAGCACATTAAACTTAAAGAACATCTAAACTATCTAAACCAATGATGCACCAGAAAATTTCTTGATTTGTGCCGCATCTTCTGCTGTCCTCCTCCTGCCTCAGCGCCACCTTTCGCGCCTCTTCCATGTATGCAATGTGAACGGACAAAATTACTTGTTCATTTTCATGCCACAAATTAGGGTCGTCCCCATCGGTCGTGAGGATTTCTGCGCTCACAAATTTTGAGGCGACTCATGCAAAACAGACGTATCGGCATAGGGTCGCCCCCTAGCGCAAATGAAGGTTTTGCATACCCTGTGACATGTGATTGTCCATCTACGGGATTTCTTATGGACTTTTCTAATTAAAGGATGTTTATGGATAATCATTGGTAATCCGCCTGCTTCTGATCATTGTGGATTTATGTTTACTGAATTGGTAAATGTCCACAACGCGAGGGTCAACTAATACCAGTCAGATACCATGTGTGTCCCCACCCCGCAAAGGGACGAATGGTGTGATACAATACCATACCTGACAATAGCTGGAAATGAAAAAAAGAAATCACATCGCATGGATGTATATGGCCCTGCTATACAATATATACAATTCACATCTGGTCAAGCCCACATTTTTTCGAACGGCTCAAAGATCAACAGGTGTGCCCCGCGGGCGACAGCCCCTGCCTAGTCTCGAGCCACTTCGGCCTCAGACAACTTCCGGCGAAGCTCTCCTCGCTGCTCTGCCGCCTCAAGCATCTCTGTTGGCATCCACTGAAAGGGTTGGGTATTTAAAGTTTGGCCCAAACAAAAAATACCCAAAAGTTGAAACATGGCCCCCCCAAAAAAAACATGATACAAATGACACAACTGGATCATTGGCATAAAATGGCACAAATAACTTGATATAAACCATCCACTCTTCCCCAAAAACCCAACCAGCTGCAACCCCTCGCCTCAGCATCTGCCGTGGAGTAAGCCACGAAGTGCCGCTTCTCGGCGTCGCTTCTGGAGGAGACGGCCTTGTCGAGCGTTGCTCTGAAGGGCGCGGATGTGGCAGTCCTGGCGTCACAACATCGGGTACCACCGAGATCCACCTAGCCTGAGAATCACATGGGTTTGGAAAGTTGGGAAACATTTTCACACCTCGATGCAAAATCTGCAATAACTGAACCGTCTTTGACCGTCTCCTGCCGCAAACGCTCATCCTCCAACTGCTGAGCTTTGTGTTTCGCTTCCACCAGAGACCACTCTCCTTAGTCACTTGTCATGCTGTTAAGTCATCTTACAATGAAGATCTATCAAGAGTTCGGCGAGGCACGTTTCATCAAACTCTATTACTATGAAAGATGTTAGCATCTCCCTTTCAAGTTTGCTCAGACAATGCACCAGTCAAATATGGTGCAGTCTTATGGGTAAAGTTGATTCATTTTGCCACTACACCATCCTGACGCTTCATCTGGCCACCTTGGCCCATCAAACCACGCGACCATTCAAAAAAAAACACTCACTGTCACAGAATGTGTATCTGTATCAGTTCCACTTGTATTTCAAAGCCACCAGCACGAAAAGTTGAAGATCCTGAACTCGAATGAATTGGAATGAGCGACTGTCTTTCAACGCTTTTCGCGCTGCCGGCAGCCTTTAACCCGTCAGCCTCAGCATCTTCTGCCTCTGCCTTTGCCCTCAGTTTGCTAAGGGCACTCTGTTGGTAGAGGCTCGCCAAAGCCAATGCAGATTTGATGAGGGCCACCACCTCCAGGGATATGCCGACTGATTCAGTTCCACCACAAAAGCATATAAAGGCATTCAGGTCCAGTCAGGTGAAACCAATCATGGCCACAACATGCCACAACCATCCACAACTCCACAACCCTTCTGTCAAATTGCTAGCCTCATTGGCTTCCCGACCCGTCCAATCATCTTGCAGCTCAGCAAAGGCTCCAGAGACGCCATCGGATCCATCCGGGAGATCCTGGTTCCATCTGGCCACCGGGATCTCACTCTCAGGCTCAGCTGAGTCACTGCTCAAATGGCCTGGGTCGTCTTCTGGAGGTGACCAGTCGTTCTCGCTCCCACGTAGGAGAATGAAAATGGTTGACGTCCACATTCTTGGCCAAAAATATTGGAAGGCAAGGTTCTATCTCTGGATTATCTTGGGCCACTATAAATATGTTCTTGAGACGGATTGCTGTGGCTTCTGCTGTCACTGAGTCTAGCCCGCCCGCCAGTGAACATCAAAGCACAAAAACAATCAAAAACCAACATAGCCTGTACAACTCCTATGGCCAGCCATCATCACCCTCTCCCCTGACACGTCCGACAACCTGGACATCCTGTATGTTTTGCCCAGCGTCTCCGTATTTCCAGGCACTCTTCATCAAGCAGATCACGTAGCCGCTGCACATGGCCCAGCCATGATGCTTTCTCCAGCCCGGAAGGCTGCCACCCCAGGATCATTCCCAAACCCAAACCCCTCAGCACGCAGCTGAGCAAAAAGAAACTGCAGGGGTGGAGTGCAGGGCATGATGTGCTCAATGCTCACACCTCAACACACCCAAGGCCCCAAGGCCCCAAGGCACCTCTCCAAAAGCGGCGGTCTTCCAGATCCACGGTGCAGCTGGCTGGGTCAGGGTTGCTGGCACACTCCTCCTGCGCCACTGGATGCGTGGTGCTGTGGTGCTTCTCATAATTTTTCCCAGCTGAACTAAGATCTGAAGATGACACTTCATATCATCCAGCTCCAAAACCTATCACTAAAGATTCAGCATGTCATCGAGGTCATCCATTGTCCCATCAAACGCTGTAAATCTCTTCGGCGGGTCCCGCGGCAATTTGCAGACAATCTCTTCTGAAGCTGGAGAGGACAAGTTGAGGTACGCGACATTGGCCTCGTGCAGATGGCAACCAAGTCCAATCTTCAGGCCATGGTTTCGTTTCAATATGTTCTCCTCTTCCCCTGGTTTTTGATTACATATAATGTGTATATATATATATTATATATATAACAACATGATCAAACATGGCAATCATCAACCGCGGATGTCCATAGCATAGCCTTTGATGATTGATTCAGGAAAAAATTGGATGGGGTGGCACGTGGAGGATTCTGGTGTTGTAGGGCTGGGTTTCATGTTGCTAGGGGCTAGGGTTTTGGCGGAACTGCCTCTGCACGAACAACACGACTAATACTGTAAAAATGTAAAAAGGACGTTCAGGAAGCAGCGGGAGAAAAACATGGCAGCTGCAGAAGGTTCAAACAAAAGGCTATTTGCTCCAAGACGTTTGTAAATCGGTGCCGCCCATGCAGACCCCTTCCATCCCAGTCTTGGGCCCCAGCATTGTGCAAATACTGGAAAACACTAAAATTGATCACAGACGTCAGGATGGCCAGAAAGAAAACCTGCCCAAAAGGCCACATTTTTCAAATGATGTTAAACGCGTCGACATTGTTTCCGGGTGTTTTCCACTTCAAAGATTGCAAATTGGACAGGCAAAATCATTATTAAATACAGTACAGAGTACGCGCAAAAAGAAATCTCTGAAACAGCCAATGGGCCACCTTGACGCGCGATGGCCACAAGTGCGGCACGCCCAAACGCCTCGCCTTGGGAAGCAAGGCCCAGCAAGGTCCTGGTTGTTTCACCCTTATGAAATTTCATCGTGAAACACTTTCTCGTCAGCCACTGAGCCATTAAGTTACTGATGTTAATGTCATATTTCCATGATATATCCCCAGTGTTGTTGTTTAAATTCCCCTCATGTATAAGGGTTGGCGTCTCCATCCCGGAAGCTCAGGCCAATGCCCACATTTGCAACCGTCACACGCATGAGCCTGTGGTCGCATGCCGATGATACAATGCAGGATCGACAGCACAAGAGTATACATGAATCGCATCAGGAGACAAATGCCTAATATGTATTATAGTGCGGGACATTAAATAAGCAGATTGATGCCACTGCCAGCAAACAAGCAGATTGCACAAAACCCTCACGTACCGTGAGGTTTTTCTGCTTATTACAGTCCAAAATGCATCTATACCCTAAGATCCAATATCTGCTTATTGCTGTCTGATTTTATGCTGGGGTTGTTGTTACTGTGTGGGATCATGGAATTGTTTGTGGGTGACCATGAAAAAATCCTGAAAGGAAACAATTTTGGTGACACCGTGGCATGCGAATCAATGTTCCAGCTCAAATACTAGATTTTCTTGGGCTACGCCTTGGAACCACCTATTCTATAACATTCTATAACCTCTTCCCCCTAACACTAAGATTAAACACATCCCCAGAAGCATTGGTTCAGTTCGGATTTTTTCATTTTGGGTCCCTGATTTGGGTAACTCTATATATATATATCTATATCTACTCTACTAAGGGAATGGGGTTAGATTAGCAAACACAAAGTATCAAGTCTATATATGTCATTAATTCATTTCCCGTACTGGTACCACCTCCAATAACCAGATTGCCAATCTGCTTATTGCACCCTTGAAAAAATCAGCCGCTCACCCCCCAACACTTTCCTCGTTAATTTCTTCTTTCCCCATTTTTCCCGATTGTTTTCTGGGAGCAGGTAGCCCTTTCACAGCGCGCACCATTCAAAACTGATTGAAATTTTCACCATTTTAGCTGGATATTGACGTCCAAGGTGAAAAGACTCATTGTTGCAGATGTTTGCAGGCGCAGCACGCGCCGCCGCTCGCGACGGTAGCCTGCCTGCACCTCCTGCATGCTTAGGTCGCCAACCAAGAGTGCTACTTGAGAATTTTGTGATGGGCCACCGCACAACGCAATCTGCAACATCTGACATAATCTTCTGACCTTGCACCTCCATTGGTCTGATGTTGTTGAGGTCGCGCACGTCGCACCATAAATGTATACTTCTCAGCACTCGTGCCAACTAATTCTGGAACTGCCCTCTCAGCATCAATATGCAGAACACCAGAACTGGTGGAAGATGCAAGTCCAAAATGGTCAAGCCATTTGCAACTTGAATTCTTCACCTTCCTAGTTTCCGGTGTCACAACCACATACCCAATTCAATTTGTGGACAATTCCGCAAGAACCTGGCTTATAACCCCTAACCCCATCTTGTTTTTTTCACGTCTCCCGTTGTAGTAAACTTAGCTTATCCAAAGCCATTTCCCGTCCCTTATTTGTATTTATTTGCGCGTTTCATGTGGTAAAATCATTTCTCCGAGCCTAACGGCTTGGATTTCCTCCAGAACAAAACTACGCCGTACCGAAATTTTCGCTTGATTTACAAACTTCAGGTTTGAAAGCGTCAAAAGCATCCTTTGATATGGCGTATATCTTGGGTAAGGCCGCCCCAAAGAATAAAATGGAGCTAAATCGGGCTGCATGTGCGGGGTCCTGCACCGTTTGGCGGCGCTGCTGGGGATGGCTCTTCGGAGGGTACTGCCTTGTCATTGTCTCGGTGAGCAGTTGGCTGGCCCGCGTGCGCGAGAAACGCTGCTGCAGCGCGAACCTGACACGGTGCTCTGGGCTGCTGTGCGCGATGCGGAGCCGGCAGGCTTTGAGCTGAGATGGTCCCACCATTGCTTCCTGCTGTTCTACGGTTTCTTGTGGTGGTCCTCTTTGTTTCTGCTTGGTCCTCTGCAGCTGCAGTTTGGGTCTCAGTCCGTGAATCCATGTGATCGTTTACCAACCATTACTTTCATTCATCCATTCATGCGTCACGCGTTCATATTGGCGTCTATCCATCAACTAATTGGTCGATGCATCCACCCATCGGTTCAACGTTATCCATACAATTGCCCAGATTACAATGTACCTGCTTTTCTCCCCGTCAAAATGCCAGTTAATGTTCTGTATGGCAAAATGAAGATAGAATCTTTAGTTGTCGTTGAAATTCTGTCGGCGAAACAGGGCAGTAAATCTCCATGTGTAAGGCAGGTTCGAAACCGTGAATCGAATATTAACGCCCTTACTAGAGGTATGCCCGGTTTGCCCAATAGTTCGTACACCTCCACTACCGATGGCGGCTCTCATTGGGCATGACTTTAACTACGTATATAAAGTGTGTTTCAGGCCGGATTTCAAAGATTACAGCATCGCCAACATCACCATTCCTAGGGCCCAGACGGAGACATTTGTGTGGGTTGCTGGAACCGGTGATCACTGTTTCTCATTTAAGCTCTTTCCACATGTACTGTGAATGGCAACCAGCTAAGAAACCAGCATGTTTTCACATGTGTGTGGATTTCAGGCATTGGAAAAGGGAAACACGAAGAAAATAGAAATCATGAAACATCTACCTTTTGGGACTGACCTGTAAGAAGCAGATTCACGCCACTTTTCCCCATGAGACCACAAATTCCTGAAATTTGTTTCTTACAAAGTCGCATTCTTTTTGGGTAGTGTCTTATTTGAAGAAAATCGCTGGTTTTGAGGTGTCATAAGCAGACTATTTTTTCTTATAAGGGGTCCCCGACTATTATATGTAATATAACGATGACAATCGTGAGAATGATGTTAATTTTAATACAAAAATAGTGATGATGATGATGATGATGGTGGTGGTGGTGATGATGATGATGGTGGTGATGATGATGATGATGGTAGTACAAACAAACATGAAAATGATGATGACGATGGTGATCATGATGATCATGCTCATCATGATGATGATGATGATGGTCATGAAGCTCATGATGGTCATGATGATTAGGATGATTGGGATGATGCTGATGCCGCCTGTGGGCCCAAATCAGCCGCATCAATGCTACAACCGAAGCGCATTGCTCACTTGTCTTGCAGAATTAGGGATTCTTGAAAGTGAAACGCATTGATTCAGGCCAATCAATCTACCACGTTTGTTTGTAGCAGGTCACCTCCTTTTGTTTCATGATCTGATTTGTGCATGTTCGGATCTCAAATGGCGAGCCGGTTCGAACTGGACATGGGGGGGCCCATCATGGCAACAATTTCAACATGTCCATCAAGAAACTGTGCACAGCCCGACCTTACACAGATTGTTCTATGGTTTGCTTCATCACGAGTGAATCGTACATTCATCTGTTGGCATCAGGGCGGGCCCCCATTTTTCATCGCACCACAGGCAGTGCCTTGATCTGAACCCTAAATCAGCTTATGGGCTACAGTACCAACATCTTTATGCATCACAGAGCAGTGAAACGTCTAGAGCCTGGGGTGTGATACGGCGCCGCTCCTGGCCTAATTCCTGCTGCTGATTCGGAACTTGATGATTGGCACTGTTGAACAATTGTTTTTCAGATCTCATGTTTAATTAAGTTTCTGCTTTTCAGCCGACTCGAACACATCAAAGTCCGCTCAGCCACTCGATGGTCGATTCCTAGCTCCAAATCGTCAAGCGTGCGAATGTGCGAACAATCCAAATTTGAAGGATGCAACACAAAATCCCTACGAAGATATGGGAAGCAGAATGGCATTCTACAGAAAGTCCGATTGTGCATGTTTGGTGGGTTCTTCTCAAGATTTTTCACCCGATGAACTGCTGTAACCGCCAAGCGCGCCTCAGGTCAGAACTCCATTGCTCCCGCAAAAGCGTCAGAGTGACCAAAATATCCATACCATTCAATCATCAAATAGCCCGAATATCCATCTCCATATGAAGGCAAACGGATCTGAATGTCCTCAGAATGTCCTTCTCTGCACCCCTAGAAGCTGTCGGTGGAGCCCAGGAATGGTCCATGTGTAGATTATGTACCTATCAAGCAAGCACTGGCTATTCTCCATAGCTATGTCAGTTTACCAAAGGATAATCCGTATGTGTCTAATATGTATAAAATGTATGCATACTATGGGTGTATGTGCTGAAATGTATCCGTATCACTGCATATCTCCAAATATAACGAGGTCACTTCAAGCCTGGAAGCTGAGACAAAACATGCACAGTTTTCCCTTGCACTGCATGATGTAAGTAGGCCCAGGAGCTTCACAGGAAAAAACAAACTTAACATTCTGCATTTTGACATACAAACGTGTGCATCAGTGTCTTTATTTGTGTTTTGTTCAGTCCTCTACTCCGTCAGCGTCGGATCAAAAGGACATGCCACTCAACTGGTTGATATCCCATGTTCACGGCCAACTCAACTTTAAAACGCACAGGTCTTCGGGCCTTTCGCGATGCACAGAGAAAAACATCGCGAAGCGCTCGAAGCATCGTAAAAGTTGGTAAAAAGTTGGAAATTGGTTGCGTCCCGTTCCAGAGGTGCAAGCACAGGGAAAAAATCATAGCGCTAATTATGACCTACAACATCATAGCCCATAGCAGTAAAAACAAAATCATAACAAGAAATTAGTATAGTTTATATTTTTGTATTGCAATAAAAGTATTTGTGTGTTGTTTATCTTTATTTCTTTCTTTCTTGTACATATATATATATATATATGTATGTTATATTATAATCTGACAATGCTCGCGGGTGCCTGTGCCAAAATCTGACAAACACCTCAAACAATTTCAAACATAAAAATTGCACAAGGAATGGCACCAAGGTCTAGGAGGGTCTGCCATCTTGAGGGCGCGCAATGGATTGAAATTCGGTGTCTGCTTCGAAGCCTGCACCGAAGTGGGACATGCCAAAGCCGGTTCCCAAAATTGGTACAAAACCATGATACGGGCATATACGGGCTAACAAGCAGGAAGATTAAAAAAACATTACTTGAGGCACAGGGGTAAAGGACGAAAGCTAGCTTGGCAGAGAGCTTTGGCATGAAAACACAAAGGGCACAGCGCAGCTGTGCAGCTTTTTCGTCAACGTGGACGAGCGGGCCTGAAGCTGGGGCATGTTGGTAAGGTGAT